TTTTTTTTCGAAAATGTGTTGTTTTAGGACTCTGTGGAATCTGTGGAAAACCTCTTGAAGCGTCATCGTGACTTAGAGGCTAAGCTAGATGCACAAGAAGGCAGACTTGCTGCTTTCTCCAAGAATGCGGATGAACTTATCAGGAATAAGCACTCCGAAAGCCCCTATATAGATAAGGTAGGAGATAAATTTCTATAAATTTGCTTTATATCTTGGCGTATCCTGTATCCTTTAGCGCCGTAATGATGTGATCGCTCGCCGTGGTGCTGTGCGAAGAATGGCTGCTGAACGTCGTGCTCGTCTTGAAGAGTCGCTAGAATACCAAAATATGAAGAGAGATGCTGAGGAAATGATGTCTTGGATTCATGAGAAGAAGAAGGTATGGACCAAAACTTCTTTATGTGGCCCTGACGGTCGATTGATGATTTTATTTGATTTAGCTGGCCAACGACGACTCCCACAGAGATTTGACTTCCATTGCGAATAAGCTGTTGAAGCATGAAGCTTTTGAGGCAGAAGTCAAAGCGAATGCTCCGAGAATAACGCACATCAATAGGGTAAGTAAATTTGGAATTGGCATGGCTATAGAGGATATTTCAAAAATCTTGTTACAGCTTGGCACTGCGCTTATCAATCAGAGGCACTACGAGTCTCCCAATGTGGAACGTTTACTGAAACGAGTTAATGCCGAGTGGGCTGAGCTTTGCGATGCTGTCAACAAAAAAGGCGAAAAGTTGCGCCAGGCATCTGACCAGAAGGTAGGCGATTCAATTCCTGATACACGTCGAGTGATAGTTTCCCCTATTTTGCTATTTATTCAGGGTCTCAATCGCATCCTTGAAGATGCTCATGCAAAACTTGATGAGCTTGAGACAGTTTTGGGATCGAATGAACTGGGTTCGGATCTGAGAGCTGTCAAGGATTTGATCCAGAAACATTCCGTACTTGAGCAGGAAATGGGACTGTATGAGAGCAAGGTAAGTTTTTGGTATCGAGTGCCTCTAATTAGGAAATGCTATTTGCTTGTTATCTACAGCTCTCCGAAATCTACAAACGAGGACGAAGAATGGCCGAAGAAGGTCATTTTGATGCAGATAGAATAAACTATACAGTAGCTGCTCTTCTGAAGAGGTGAGAAAAGCTTCTTTTCTACATACGAGCAGCAGTGGCGGTCCAGAATTTTCGTCCGGGG